AAGCTTCCATCACATGGGATTGGGGAAGTGGGAAGAGGAAAATGGATCTTGTTGATTCCTCCTATTCCCGTATTCCCTTTTGCATTTTAGTGCAGATGCTGTTGGAAATGGTACGGCCGTGCAACCAGTTTAGTGGTTGCTGCCTGTTGATGTGGAGCAAAGCTGTGAAAACATGCAGTGTTCGTGGAACACCAAATATTAACTACTTTGGGGTAGGTTAGGGCGGGCCGGTGGAGGCGGCGGGCCATGAACTGTTTCTAGAGTGCTTTTATGGACTGCCACCTCTTCCTCGGGGCGTGCTGGGAGCGGCAGCTCCAGCAGCAAGTGGCTTCTAAATAGCTGCAGTCCTCCGGTAAGGATGGTGTTTCTGTCAGGTGGGCCCAGCTTTCTGAGCCTTGTCTTCCCTTTGCTGCACCCCACTTGGATGTTCCTGCCTCCCGACCCCTGTGACGTTGCAAGAAGGAAAATTTGGCTGCTAGTGGGAAGAAGAGGTGTGGTGGGGAGGGGCTGGCTTCTTGGCTGTGAGGGAGGGAGTATCCCAGGATTTGTGTCCTTGAGCCCCACCACCTTGGTGGCTGGGAAGCCATTGCCTCTCTTCACTTTTTACTGACTGGAAGGGATGGTAGATACAGTTGCCAGAAAATGGAAATTTGTTTGCTTTGGGAAAACAGCTTTATGGGCATGTGCTGGATGATTGATTACTAGTGAAAGTCTTTCCGTCAAGATCTTTAAGTGCCCATAAATTGTGCTCTGCTGGATTTGTGTGTATTAGGTTGTTCAGACAGTTCAAGGTTGTCTTTCTGCTCAGTGGCGTGTCAGTTTATGTGATACCTAAAGCTATTGATCTGTAAAGAACTCCCCATTACAGTACTGTCTTGTGGCATCTGTTTCGTTTTGAAGATACGCGCAGGCTAATTAAGCAAGTGCCTTTTTAAAGTCCAACAGAAAAATCATCTTGCTCTGGTCAGGGACCTATCCAGCATCTCTCTGCACTTGGTATGTGATGCTTGAGGAAGGGTCTGTGTGGTGACTGAGCAGTGGTGGTGCTGGAGCAGGCCCTCCCTTCCCGCTACTCCTGGATGCTTGCTGGGTGTCTGGGCGAGCGTGGGAGCGGCTGGGCAGCCCTCGCGGGGGAGCTTTGCTCCCCTGGGTTGTACGCCTGGCTCCCCCGGCCCGTCCCCGCAGGGCTGTGCTGCCGAATGTCTCTTCTGATGGGCCCTCTCAACCTGCTCCACGTGGTCTTGTTCATTTACTCATTTTTGCAAACTAGGACTCCAGCCTCACCGCAGATCCCATGCGTGGGATCCCAGCAAGAACCACAGATCGGCAGCGTACCGCTTCTCCTTAATCCTCCAGATTGGCTTCCTTCTCCCGTTCTCTGCTTGTGTCTGGGCTTTTCCTGCCTCCTAAATGCAGTGTCAGCTCAGTCGTGCGGGACAGTACCAGGTTGGGTGCTGGGGAGCGCGCCCACGGGTGCTTGCAGGGGCACTGGGCCCGGCTGCGTTGGGTTGGTGACTGTGGTTAGGCTTCCCAGAGGCAGGGATCACCCCGTGCAGAGCACGAGCAGTAGCCCAAGGCTTGCAGGACGTGGTAGCTTCCCTGGCAAGTGGCCTTGGTTTATAAGGGAGCTGATTTGGGAGTGATGGCTAGGTCTTTGCTGCCTTTTATTATTATTTAATCCAGAGGGTGTGTCCCGGTGACATGGAACTCAGTGAAGACTTTCTCCGTGCTTGTACATAAGGACTTCCCCATCCTAGAAATCTGGGTGCTTGGAATAAGAATAAAAGACACTCAGCATTTTTCTAAGCTCAGCTGAATATTAATGAGCGTAGACTGAAGCCTCAAATTTCTGGTCTTTGTGCCACGTACATCTTTGCACAGCAGTGCTGGCTTTTAAGCAGCAGCTGCCTTGATCTTCCCTTCATCTCTGCCCACTCTTCCTCCCCTTATCTTCACTTTTGTCGGTGTGCTGTTTGTGGGCTCCACCGCCTCAAGGCGCTGACCTAGGCTCAGAAAAACCTTGGTGGGAATGGAGTCAACTGGAGGGAGAGCTGTTTAAGTTGGCACTTTCCACTGAAAGAAATGTGTGTGTAAACATGTCTAATCTCAACAAGCCTAAGTGCTGCTTAAGTAAAGTTTAGCTCAGGCTCAGAGCTGTGAAGGGATCACTTCATTTGGGGTTTGGATCCTGGTGGTTCTCAACCAGAATTCTTTCACGTTTAGTGATCTTGTCTTGGCTACTCTCTGCTGTTGTGCCCTGCATGTACAAGAAAAAACAACCGAAATCCTAATTTTGTTTTCTTGTACAGTGTTTTCAGAGAAGGGTGGGTAGAAACCTGTGTCAGGTAATTGATGCTCCGTTTCAGGTCTCTTGCTGTGCCTAGCCAAGCAATCCTTTCTCTGATTTTGGGGCAGACGATGAGGTGAGATTGCCTCCCTATTGCTGTGCCAGCGTAACTCCTCTCTTTACCTGGACACGGCATACTTGGAGATAAATAAATACATTGGGACAGAAAGAGCAAGCGTAAGAATATGAAGCAGTCTCTTTTTTTTTTGCGCCCTTCAGTCTTGCTGTTCCCCCAGGCAGGGGAGGCAGAGCTCAGAGGAACACAGGTGTGAGGGGTCAGCCAGCGCGCAGCCCGGGAGCCGCTGCTGGTACCCGCTGTGAAGCTGGAGCAAGCTTCCTTTGGAACCCCTCACCTGTATCCCTGGAGGTTTTGTGTAGTCACCTGAGCCACGGTAGTCTTTTATTGTGCTTTTGATGCACCTGTGTGCACAGGGATGCACCTGTGGTCTTATGCTGCTTTTGGGAATGCTTTTAAACAAAATAATACGGATAAGAGAAGTTCAGTGCATTACATGGGAATTATTTTACAGACAAGCTGTCTGAACAGCTACTCACATGGCTCAGAGTACTATATATTAAATGTCATGTTCTGCAGAAAAATTTTCCATCTTCCAAAATTCACTTTGCTCCTTGTGTATAATAGATGTTATCAAAGTAAGTATCTTACCGATGGAGGGAAAAAACTTGAAGGGTAGGTAGGTGAGGCATTGTTAATAATTGAGGTGTGTTAATTATTTTTAAAAATAATATTTTGTGCATATGAAAATTTGAACAGACGTTTGCAAGAGCACCGTTTCTGCTCGGTGGAGTATTTAGCAGAGGCTGAGAGCCTGCAAGCAGGGAGGGAACAGAGTCCTATCTTCTGGTGTACTTGGAGTATGAAGTGAAACTTCAAGTGCGTTTTTGAGAATAGGTTTGTTTACATAGTCTGAGGCATCATCTTTTGTCTTGCAGAACCTGAATTAAGGATCCTCCCGTATTTGGACTCCCTCCTCTGATTTTTTTTTTTTTCAACTCAGTTAATACGCAGAGATTATTTTAGTGCAGAAATAAGATGCCATTCTAGCAAAATTGATACTGGACTTTGTGGGAGGAAATCTGAGTAGCCTGGATGATACAGTAACTGTCAAAAATCCCTCTTTCAGTCCCTCAGTATTTAGTATTGTAACTCCGTATCCTCCAGTTCTCTTTCAGGAAGGTCAGAATAGTCTGCATTTCTGACTTTTTTCCTATGCTGTCTCTTCTTAATAAGGGAATTTTTTTGATCACAATTTGCAAGTTCATTGCTTTTTGCCTGTTAAAAGCTCTCTAGAAGACCAGATGTGTATTGACATTCACAAATTGAAAAAAGTTAACGTGGAAAAAAAATCCCACAATTCAATATCCACTAACCTAAGTCCATTGAATTGTTCTTTTTCACCTACTCTTTTGTTCACCTCTGGTGGCCCTTTTGAGAAGGAGTCCCGTTTTCTTAATTAGAAACTACTTCGGACAGTGTTAAGTGCTGCTTGAAAAAATCCAACAACCAAATTTTCAGAAAGGATTTAAATCCTCAAACTTTTGTTTGAATGCAGCAGTTAGCATGGCAGGATTTGTGTCAGGATGAAACTCGCCCTCTGGACAGGTTCGGTGAGATTTTTGTTTTTCTTTCTGTGAAGTAACCTGCGTCTGACTCCTGCCAGAGGAATGGTATTAGGCTGGACAGGTACAGCTTTGCTTCTGGGGTGTTTCTGACCTTCCTAATCACCTCAACAATCCCGGCTACAGCTGACAAGCCCCTGTCTCGCTTTTAGCTATCTAAAGCAAATAGACGAGGTGTAGTGTGGTCACGCTAGGATAATCCTGTGGGAAAACGTTATTGTTTTCTGAACAAGCTTCAAGGAACGGAGTCTCGAATTACTGTAATTGTATCTTGTATCTTGCAGTTCTGGGAGGCTTATCAGAGGAGAAAAAGGTATAATTGATACGGGTGACTGCAGAACCTGTTTCTGTAGGATCCTTTCCAGATTTAATTTTGGTGGCCTCTTTGTGTAGCAGAAATGAACTAGTCAAAAAAAATTAAGTAAAAAAAATGCCATTTGTACCCGTGGTCCTCAGGAGCCTGACGTAAAGAAGCGATAAGCTCAGAGTCAGGTTGATGTCTCAATAATATGTATCTTTAGGAATTGCCATGTGTCACTGAAAGTTGGTTTTGAGCTCTGTATATACCAAGGTGGTGAGACAGGTTTAAAAAAAAGAGTCATTTTAAGGATTTATTTTTAACCTTACATGCTTTCTTTTAAACTGCAGATGTCTCTCTGACCAAGTGATACTAGAATTACTGGGCAAAAATGTTCTGAATATTTTCCCTTCTGTTGGGAGAGACGGCTTTAGAATCTAAGCAGAATGAATTTCTGTGGAGTATGGATCATTTAGGTTTTGAAATGGCCTCATTCAACAAATTGTTTTCTACTTTTATTACTATTATTGTTACATTATTATTATGATGATATTATTACTGTTGTCTACTCTTACTCTGCTTTTGCTTAACTCCCAGCAGACTCCTGCTATCTAAAGGCTGAGAGTTCATTCACAGCTCAAGCTCTTGAGAACTGTTGATCTTCAAAATTAGTTACAGAATAAACACTAAACGCGTTTTCTTTTTTATTAACAGGAGGAGTCTCGTATCCTCAGGGTGAAGGTGGTTTCTGGCATTGATCTAGCGAAAAAAGACATCTTCGGAGCCAGGTAGGTGTTCTGCTTCGACTGTTTTATGCGTTTAAACAGAAGGAGTTTAGCAGAGCAAGGATGCTTTGTAACGGATTGCTCACAAACGTGACGGGAGATCCCATTGCTTGATTGCAGGCAATGCAAATTCTGGGCTGCCTGTTGGCCAGCCAGCCGTGGCCGCTCACGCCCTCCGCGCCGCAGGAGTTGGCCGTCTGCCGCAGCCCCGCGGGCCCGTGGGGAGCAGCTGGGACTCGGGCAGCCCTGGGGGCGCCCCGCCACCCCCCAGCACCCCGCGGGGGCCCCCCAGCACCCCGTGGGTGCCCCCCAGCACCCCGCGGGGGCGCCCCAGCACCCCGTGGGTGCCCCCCAGCACCCCGCGGGGGCGCCCCAGCACCCCGTGGGTGCCCCCCAGCACCCCGTGGGTGCCCCCCAGCACCCCGCGGGGGCGCCCCAGCACCCCGTGGGTGCCCCCCAGCACCCCGCGGGGGCGCCCCAGCACCCCGTGGGTGCCCCCCAGCACCCCGCGGGGGCGCCCCAGCACCCCGTGGGTGCCCCCCAGCACCCCGCGGGGGCGCCCCAGCACCCCGTGGGTGCCCCCCAGCACCCCGCGGGGGCGCCCCACCACCCCCCAGCACCCCGCGGGGGCGCCCCAGCACCCCGTGGGTGCCCCCCAGCACCCCGCGGGGGCGCCCCGCCACCCCCCAGCACCCCGCAGGGGCGCCCCAGCACCCCCAGCACCCCGCGGGGGCGCCCCAGCACCCCGTGGGTGCCCCCCAGCACCCCGCGGGGGCGCCCCGGCACCCCCCAGCACCCCGCGGGGGCGCCCCGGCACCCCCCAGCACCCCGCGGGGGCGCCCCGGCACCCCCCAGCACCCCGCGGGGGCGCCCCGGCACCCCCCAGCACCCCGCGGGGGCGCCCCGGCACCCCCCGGCACCCCCCAGCACCCCGCGGGGGCGCCCCGGCACCCCCCAGCACCCCGCGGGGGCGCCCCGGCACCCCCCAGCACCCCGCGGGGGCGCCCCGGCACCCCCCAGCACCCCGCGGGGGCGCCCCGGCACCCCCCAGCACCCCGCGGGGGCGCCCCGCCACCCCGCGGGGGCGCCCCGCCACCCCCCAGCACCCCGCGGGGGCGCCCCGCCACCCCCCAGCACCCCGCGGGGGCGCCCCGCCACCCCCCAGCACCCCGTGGGTGCGCCCCAGCACCCCGTGGGGGCGCCCCGCCACCCCCCAGCACCCCGTGGGTGCCCCCCAGCACCCCGCGGGGGCGCCCCGCCACCCCCCAGCACCCCGCGGGGGCGCCCCAGCACCCCCCAGCACCCCGCCACCCCCCAGCACCCCGTGGGGGCGCCCCGCCACCCCCCAGCACCCCGTGGGGGCGCCCCGCCACCCCCCAGCACCCCGTGGGGGCGCCCCGGCACCCCCAGCACCCCGCGGGGGCGCCCGGAGGCCGGCGGTACCCCCTGTCTTACTTGGCAGGAGCTCGGCGTTCCCGGCCGGTCCCTCGGGCGCCCCGTGGGTCGGGCTTGGCAGCCAGGCTGTGAACCCGCGTAGGCTCCACGGCATGCAGGTGCCCCGCTGCCGCTCCCACGCGGTACCTTCTAGGGAGAGAGGCGGTAACAGCGTTGTCTCCTGCTCCGCCTGTGCCAGGAGACGGCCGGCACTAAGTGCTAACGTAGAAAGGGGTTCGGAGAGCACTGTGCTTGGTGCTTTTCTGCCAGGCTGTGGCAAGTCCAGGTTTTAATTCCAGACGAGCCTTGAGCCGCTTTGCGTGGGGACTGGAGAGGGAAGAGAGGAGACTGTGGAGCGCATAAGGTAGTCTTGGTGTGATTGCTTCCCTGCTCGCCTGTGTATGGGAAGGGGGGGCAAGCAGAGCAGAGTTCGTTCTGGTCTTCGGCCAAAGTAACAACTGTTAAACAAGAAAACTGGTTTTAAATGGTCTAGTGGAAAGATACAGTCGCTTTGGATGTTCTCAAGTCATTTGCTTTGAAAGAATTAGTCACAGGCCTGGGAATTCCTTTTCTCCAAGTCTAGGCTTGTTGTGCAGTGACTTAAAGAATCAAATTGGGTAGCAATTGGGGGAGAAGCCGGTTCCAAAGCCAACATGAACTGGAAAGCATCAATTCTTTTTTTTTTTTTTTTCCCCCTGAAGGTTAATTCACGTTTGATGTTCTTGCTATCTCAAGCCTAAGTGTGAGGAAATCCTTTACTGTAAATGCTCTGATCTACTTCAAAGTTTTTTGTCAGTTTGAAATTAGTAGTATCCAATTTAGCTTTTATTGAAATGACTAATTTCTTAATGTATAAATGAGCCTCCCTGTTTTCCTGTATTTCTTTAATGATGCTTACAAATTGTTCATTAGCTTGCATATCTAGCTTGAAACTCCACGAAAGCAGCAATTAAAAGTTTAATCAGCTTTTTTTTTTTTGTGAAATTTGCAACAAATGTTCCCTTGGTAGTTGTGTGCAGAATATGGTAAGATAAAGCTTTTTAATTTTCTTTCCCCAAATTTGCTACTTTGAGGACCAGCTCTTGATGCTGACCGTAAGCAGCAAAAGCAGCAGCTCCTGGGCAGATGTAGCTGGACGCGTAGCGCTTGCTGCGGAGGTGAGGTAGCACTGCCGGTGGTGGGTACTGCTGCCAGCTCACAACGCTAGCATCTGCCTCCCAGGCTCCTGCAGTTGGCATCGAGGTGCTGCAGTACCAAAATAAAAGAGGAGGAGCACATTTCAGAGGAGAGGTGGGACTAAGGCACAGAGAAAACATGATTTCTGTTGCAAATACTAGCCCCAGAATTGCCATATTTAGGTGCTAACTTTGCTTTTTCTAGATCGCGTTTAATTTGGCCATTCATACAATTACAGATTTTTGGTTTACTTGATATACTTAATTGGCTGGATTTTGTGTCTGCATTATTTTCCGAGCTTTAGGTTTTGAAAAAAAAGGCAAAACGAGTGGTTGGAATATAGAACCTGCTTATTAAGAGGAACTTTATGTAAATATTGAAGTACTGTGGCAATTTCACAGAAGTAATCTGGGAAGCGGGAATCTTTTCAGTGTTCATCTGATTCATTAAAGAATGTGTTGGAAACCTCACAGCTGAATCCCTGGCATTGTAGTATCTCTTTTGGCAATACTTCTCACAAAACTTTTGTAAATATTTAAGAAGTCACGTTCAGAAGAGGTTCTAAAACTTGCTTAGGAATTGATAAATTGTAAAAACATCTTTTAATTTTCAAAATGCATAAAATTAAAACTAAGTGAATTTGAACCAACTTCTACTGATGTGGCCCTTAAATATTTAAATAAATTGGTCTCAAGTTTCCATAAAACCACATAGTTAAAAACATGTTCCCAACTTAGGCTTTTAACTTTGCTTTAAACAGTTCTTTAGTAAAAGCTGCGACTAACAGCAGCAGTGACATGCTTGTATTGCTGTGTTGGCAAGCTTTCCGAAAGTTTGCTTTCTTGGCTAAAGTGCCAATTTAGTTTTTCTGTTTGATTGAGGGGCCTTGCATACCTTGCTGAGATTCTGACGTTTCATGCTGCTTGAATCTTAGGTAGAGTTTCGGAGTCACAGCCCCCGCAGCTGGTGAAGGGCTTCGGACGGGGGCAGAGCGGTAACTTGACCGTGTAGCTGTGGAAGAGTAACTGCAGGGCATACGTTGTGCTCTGCATCTCGGCGGGGTTTCCTTAACCGTTTTGAATCACCTTTACCCTTATAAAGCACTGCCTGTAGGCTTGCACAATCTGAAAGCCATTTCTTGCCTGATTAAGTCCAAGGAAAGTTTCTTACCTGTGTAGAGCACTGGAGAAACTGGTATTTTTCTTCTGAGGACCAAAACTCAGTGCTTTTGATTTTGGTTTTTCAAAGTTCTTTTTGGCTTATAAAATCATTTTGATAGTAACTAATGATATATGAGAGCTGAGAAATTTATAGAGTTATGGTTACGCAGACAGAATGTATACTAGGATGTAGAATGAAATAGTAGCTATGAGCAACCGGAGGTGATGGTTAAACGTGACGAGTTTCATCTACGTGGTTTTAGTTGAGGTGGATGTAAGTGGCTAGTCAGTGTAGGTGTAAGTGGGTTTTTAAGAGCCAGCTTTACGTTTTGCCCTGTAACGTGACAAGTATTTGATATGTACGGATGACTAATAGATACTGCAAACTGGAATTTTGTGAATTCAGTTTTGCATGCTTAATTCTGAAAGACACGTTGCAATCTTGTTGCTGTCTAGTGCTTTGACACGTAGATTTACCACCTGACATATACGGTATTGTAATATATACATTATTATTTTACATTTATTTCCTCTTAATCTCCTCTCGAGTTCTTAAATGTAATGATTTAATTCAGATATTTGTATTCTATGTAATTAATGCAAATTATAATGTAATCTTAGTTATGCAACATACTGAACAATTATTGTTATTAATTACTATTTTGTTGTTACTCACATATTAGTAATGATGCTGTGAGTATCATGAGGGCTGTGGCTGCAGCGTGCAAGTCACTGCACAAATGCAGCCATGCCCGGAGAACACTGGAATATGCCATGGAAGTTCCTCTCCTGAGTGCCTTTACGTATTACTGAAATTGAAGGAGAAGCACTTCCCTAGGGACTTGGTCTATTTGTGGAGCGCGGTCTGCGTCTGGACAGGTTTGTGTCTTTCCCTGAAGGTAGCTCGAGTGTGGACCTGGGTCTCCGATTGCTTGCTTTCCCCACCTCTAACAAACAAATGCAGTGCTTCTGAAGGTAGCTCCGGGCTGGCTGCCGGGTTACTGGGCAGCGTGGGGACACTCTGTGTAGGTAGAGTTGCTCTGTGTATCACGCACAGGTGCACTCACAAGTCATAAAGGTGAATGCGTACGTATAAACGAGAGGAAGATGTCTTCTGGCTACTATTGGCTGTGTGAAATAAGACACTACGGTGCGGATATTGTTATTAAAGTAACAGTTTTGGCAAGCGAGGAGGGAAGGACTGCGTGTGTACTCTCGGTGGGTATATCTGAT